CAGATACATCAAAGGGAAGACAAACCTCATCTCAGACAGTTAACAATGATCACAAATACAAAATAAATAAAAAAATAAAAAGGGGGGAAAGGGGATTCTGACCTTCCAGTCTCAGGCGATTCTGAACAGAAGGAAGATCGTGTGCCTTCAAGAATCAAAAAAAATTAAATGGATGGGAACCAACTTCAGAACGTATGGAGGATTTTATGCCCTGCAAGTCCAAGAAACTAAAAGAAAGTCCTGGTAAAACACTGCAAACCAAACCAGCACATTCCCCATTGCCCTACTAACACTTCTGACCTACTATATTACTGGTATGGGACTCCTTGTTTCACAAATGCTAATGCAATGTTACAAAATGTAGCTGGCCCACTGTCACGGCATGTAGCGATGCAACAATTCATGCAGACATCCTCAAAATGGAAAGCATGCAGCTCACAAGAATGAGCCTAGACCTCCACCACCAGAAGGTGCTACAGATAGGAGGAATAACTTCAAATGTTACAAATAATACAGTAATGTTCCTCAGGTAGTGCACTTAGATTAGCCCTCAGTCTAGAAAGCAAGCAGCAACAATTAAATATAAACTCTTTTCATGACAATCACAACAGCAAACTGCCTGTACTTTAAATGAAAATAATTTGAGTGAAAACATTTTTCCTATATTATGTATATTTTAAATTTGAAGGCCATGCTCATCTAGTATACTTTTGAGAGATCTAGGCCCAGAAATAAAGACAGAAACTCACACCCAGAAGCTTGGGGAGTAACAGTCTACCCAAGCTAAGTTCCTACATGACAGCTGTAAATATTACCTGGTACTTCAGGAGAATGAAGATTAAACAATCCGTCTCTTCTAAGAGAGACGCTTAAGGCATTGCATTTCAGAAACGAAACACCACTGAAGTTGAAAGTGCACAGTCTGAAAATACTTTGTTTGCTTTACTCTGAACTTTCAACCCTTCAATGCGCGTTAGTCATTCCAGGAATATTCCATTTCACATGATAAAAGATAATTTAGGGTTTGTCATTACAAAGCAGTAGTAAGTCACTCCAAGGGCTTTTTTCTGTTTATTTGGTTTTGAGGAGCTTTTTGAAGCTCTTGCACAAATTGAAACTAAATAGGAATAATCAATACAACAATAGAAAGTTTCATTCAATCTAACCACAAGCTTTTGAGTGGTTGTTTCTTGCTGTTGCTGCTGCATTTTAAACAGGAAACTCTGATTTATCACTAACTAGGATAGTAAGCACAAAAGCTTAAGCTGTATGCTGCTCTACCAGTGAGAATTTAGTTAAGACAGAGCAGTCTTCATGAAGACACTGCATGCTTCACTTTCAGAAATGTGACATGAATATGTGGTTCTTCTTAAGAATTTCATTCATTTCCCTATTGCTTCGATTTTCCGCTCTGCCAGCTGCTAGAAAGGAGGACAACAGTCACGCTTTTCTATGAGGCGCTCCTTTCATGTAATTACTGAAAATAAGACTTCACTTCTGCTACGCACTTCAGAGAGGATCTCTGAGCTCTCTAACCCAGAGCAACCAAATATTTAGTGAGACCTGCTGTAGGGAACCTGCTTTGGCAGGGGGGTTGGACTCAATGATCTCTGGAGGTCCCTTCCAACCCCTACAATTCTGTGATTCTGTGAATTTATTGTTGGTACTCACATCAGTCTGACAAAAAGTCTTTATGTTTCACAGAACTGATTACAAGATATCACTAAGTTACTTATTGATAGATATACCTGAGTCGAGGTGAAAATAAGAGTGATTGTCTGTCATCCAGCTTCAGGCAGAACTGTTTTCCTGACCTGTGACATGCTGGGAGATGGCCAAAGGAAGTGACAAGTTCCAGTCACCATTACTACTTTGCTAAGTTACTAGTGAATGAAAACTACTTAATTTCCTGTTGCTTAACTAAAATACCACTATTTAGTAGCTACAAATATTTTTCTAAAGCCATCAGACAACTACAATTCAAATGACTAGAAATTTTTAAATGCTCTATTAAACACATTTATACCGAATGTCTTTAGTCAACTGGCTGCAGGCAGCTGGGAAACCCAAACCTTTCTTATTGTATCAAAACAAAACAGATTCTGACAAAAGTGAACTCCGGTTTAGAAGGTGCAACAAGATTACAGTGATCCTTCTGCTAGCAAGAAAGACAGCAGGAAACAAAATGGCTAAACAGTAAATTAAAAAGAGCTTGGAATGTTTGGCTTCTGGCACAGAACCAAAAATCCCATGCAAGATGCTTCATCATTATATAGGCATGAACTAAGCGAGTCAGTCTGACATGAAAAGCAATTGTACATGAACAGGAAACTGCCTAGGAATAGTCCACAGTGTACTACCAAAGAGTGAAGGGTTATTTTAAGTAGAGATGCAATCCAGCAGCAATGTGCCTTACGTAGAGCAACTGGCAGGAACCTCCCTGAGCTTTGAACCCTGAAGAAAGTTTGAATAGATGTGACCTTTTTTCCCTACACAGTGCCTCGTGCTTTAAGACATCGGCAGAAGAGTCTGTATCCTTTAAGCAATTACTCAGCAAGTGCTTTTAAAGAGGCTATAATAGACTCAGGAAAGTCATCTTCTCTCAACAGAAGAAATTCAAGACTGTTCTCTTGACCACCAGGCTGGTCTAGAAGAAGAGACTCTCATTCCTGCTGTAGGAGTTTGGCCACTTCAGCAAAAGATCTTTTTGGCTGAAGAAGAAATGAATTACAAATTGGACAAAGAAAAACAAGAACAAAAAATATCATTAGCAGCATCAAATACCCAAAGGCTGATTTGTTAATGCACTGCCACCTTCATTTATTTCAAAAGCCCAGGAACAAAAGGTAACAGTTACGCATGACAAGTGGATGAATTTACACAGACATCAACGCTGCACGTGAGAGGTGTTTGCAGCTACAGTTCAGAACAGCCCAGTACTCAGCATCACTGTAAAGAACAGTGGTAAAAGCCACTCCAGGTAAATTTTCTACTGCACATTCCTGAACCTTTGCTGGGGGCCATTTCCAATTACAGAACTACACAGAGACAAATCTGCACTTGACTACCTGTTTGAGTTACTTAGCAGTAACAGCCCCTTGTCAAGAGCTGATAGAAGATTTCACAGAATCACACATTGCGCTCACTGCTCTTCAGTATCGGGACACAAACTATTACTTAACACACAGTTATGGATAACCGTACACTAACTTCACAAATACCCAGATAATATGACTTCACTATTTATTTTTTCAGTTTTATTTTGATTTTCCTTTCCCTCCAGGCTCTTCCATAACAGAGTCCACATTCTTACAGCAACACTTCAGAGGTAACTCAAATTTAAGAACTTCTGACCCTTGTACCATACTTTCAGACAATAATATGAGAAAACCAGAGCGAATGCTATCATGGTCACAATAACACACTTTCAACTTTGTGGTGGGAATACAAATATTCTGTAATTCTCTTCTTCTTGTTCTATGCCATAAAGGAGAGGAGTACCCAGCAGTGAGTTCAGAGACGAAGCAGAAAGGCACAGGATTAAAATTAAGGCAATTGGTATGGAAGTATGGTGTTTCTGCAGAACTAATAAAGCTCCCCATGATATTTTCACCTTTGGATGATTATTGTTAGGCTGCAGAAAGCAGCTTCATTCATGAGATGTTTGAAAACATCTTGAAAACTTGATTTTAATATTCAGCTAGAGTAATATTCAGCTTCAGTTTCGTACACCAGCTTTCACAAAAAATAAGCGTAGATAATATTTGTCACCTGGATGTGCAAACAAATGCAATTATGAAATTGTAGTGCATTATTATTCATTAGGACTCTGAAATTCTGGATAAATGCCTTTTAATGACCTTAAAATGCAAACAGCAGCCTAAAAAAGGAGTTTGTCGTTCTTTAAGTAATGCTTTCACATCCCAGGCATATGAGAATCACTCATTTTGACAAAGCGTATAAGCACTGTCTAAAAAGGTACAGCCTCTCTACCTCTCTCAACAGCTTCCCAGTTAACCTCCATCTTTCACCACAACTCATCACCCCTTCAATTTTTACCAGCCTGGCATTTCATGGGTCTGAAGCGGATTACAGAGTGTACAAGGATTAAATCTCCCCAGCCTCTTCTTTTCAGGAGGGTACTCCTAGTGCACAACAGTTCAGTGTTCCCTAAAGCTAGGTAAGATCTCAAGATATTTCAGCCAAGAAAGGAAGAAAAAATCTCTAATCTCATCTCTTCCTTTTTGCTCTTATTAACACCATTTCATAAAGAACTTGCTAGGAAGATATTGAAGGGAAGGCAAAATTCTCAAGATTAAATCAGTACCACCGAGGATACAAGCAAACCTGTGGCTATACCAGCCTAAATACAATGCACTGGTATAAAGATTAATGATTGGAATGTTTAAAGTGATACAAGAAGCAACTTTATTTCCTCCAAAAAAATACGTAGATTTGTTTTTCTAACACTATCTTCTGTAGAGCCTGTAATGAAATCTAACCAGTGACATCTCACGATGGAAAGCCAGCAAGTGAGACCCTTCTGAAGGTTTCCTTCTGAACATTTGTCTTTTCAGTACAAGTTTATTGGCAAGGATCAATTCAGCTACTTTGGAGTCAAATCACACTTCAAGTCTACCAGCCCTTTAACAGAGAGGAAAATCTGCCTGTTTCAGCATTTTTTCCTCCACGGTTAATCACACAAGCATTTTAGAAAAAAAAAAAAAAAAAAAAAAAAAAAAGGATTTTATCATAACAGTCAATAGAAAAACTGAAAAGAAGACCAGAAATGTGAAAAAGAACCTCAACATTTTTTATTACTGATTAAAACAACTTCATTTGGGAAAAACTGTCTCAATACCAGCTGAATGTTCCAAAAAAGCAAAACTCCACACAACAACACAACTCCAAAACACAACACTTCCACAGATTCTATTTTGTAAAAGATACCACTTTTCACAACATGCAGTAACACACTCAATTTTTAATATTGCACTTACCCTTAGCAGGCAGGTCCACAATACACATTGAAGAGATTTAAATGCAACAATGCTACAAGACAACTGTTTTAGACAAAATTATTTTACCAACAATTGAATTTCATCCTTTGCACTTCTAACACTTCAACAACTGCAGGAGACCGGTTTGGGCAGGACTTGAAGTGGTGATGGAGCACCTGGTGCAGGGCTGTGTCTGGCCCAGGGAGCACAGGCAGATTGTTTGCATCTGTGCTCCCCAGCTGACCAGGAGGGGTGGCACAGGTGGAGCCCCTGGGCTCATTATAAGAGCCAGCCACTGAAGGGAGAGCGTCCCTTGGACCTGGGCTGTTGCTAAGGAGTGCTGCATAGCCACAAGCTGATTCCCCAGCTGGGTGAGTGCTGTTTTTCTTTCTGTACAGGACTATTGGTCTATGTGCAAGTGCTTTGGTATCACCAAGAATCTGACAAAAACCTTTTTTTCTTTGTGAGCAGAATAACAGCTTAGCCTTTGTAATTAAGTTTTACATGCAGATAAAGTAAATTTACCAGTTACCATTGCATTAAAATAGTAAACTAGTCTTTAGGATGCTTTTGAAAAGGTTTTTGTGATGAAAAAAGATCTCAGAAAATTAAAAAAACTTGCAGTAGAACTATGAAAAGGATCCCAGGACTTCCTGGAAGAATCTGTGGTTTTCACAAACCACTGATACATGACAGTATGATATGATGTATCACTGGAAAGCTACAAGCTCCACCAGGAGCTTTTCCTTAAGGAGCAAACTATTAAACTGTTCCACATGAAAAACCCCTAAAGCTACAACAAAAAAATTACCAAAAGTAACTGTAATACATACCAACTCAGCACAGAGTAGTTGCAATCCTGTTTAATCCAGCTAGTAATGGCAAGAAAGGTATGACAGAACAGCACAGGGCCTATGAGCACAGCACAGGGGGAAGTCTGTGGGGAGTGGGAAAGACCAGAGAAAACAACCCTAGTGCTGGCAGTAGGGAAAAACGCCCTGCTGCCATCACTGCTCTCAACTCTCATGTGCTCATGAACAATCACTTCTGTCAGTCCCTGTGCAACACTTCTTTAGGCTTCATAATGGAGAAAATATCAGAGAGGATGAAGGATACAGGAGGCTGGAAGGAGATGCATGTACCTGTTCTATTTAGTTTATTTTTCCATTTAATACATGCATTTGAGAGAAATTTCACTGTTCTCCAACTTCCAATAATCTTCTCTAAATGAAAGTACAACACTGACATAAAAACTGATCAGAACTGGACAACATTGTTACCCTTCTTGCTTTCATAACTTTCTAATCCTCATCTGCTAGAAATTGGCTATACATGGGGGAAAAAAAAAAAAAAACTTTCAAGTTACACTCTGCTCTCTGCAAGACAAAAATCAGAATAATGAAGGCTCAATCATCTTTCTGACTACAGCATCTTATATGCATAAGATGAAACTAGAAATATAGTGACACATAAAAATATTTCTGTGGCTAAACAAATTTCCAACCTATTGTCACAGTAGCTCTGGAATTCCTAGCCTTCCCCCCACACTTCTTCTTTCCCTCCCTGGTATTTTAAACTAGGTACTTACTACTCCTTCCTGGTATTAGCCTTTTGAAAATAGATGCTATTTTGAATGAATACTGTTTTTAGGTGGTTATATTGCTTGCAGAGGACCAAGAAGAAACATTAATTCCTCGCTAATCTGATTAGCTACTGTAACAGGTAATTACAGCACAACTTTCTCCAATGACACTCTCTAACCTTGTAGACATTCCTAAAGATGGAAAGCATTCCAAGTGTGTTCTCGCTACCTGTGACAGCTAATCATGGTAGAGAAATATTTTGAATCCTTAGGAGGATTTAATTAATAACATAACACTACTTTCTAAGTTACCTTTCCTGAAAATTAACATAAATTAGTTATATTCCACATAGAAATATAGTAAACTTGACTACTCCTCAGTCTGCTGTAGTTTCTATGCTACCTTAAATCTTTGTCAGTAATAAAGACAAATTGATCACCTATTTTGTAAAACTGACTTGATATTGCCTGGTTCAGCTGTAAGCCAGCATGTCATCTTCCAGCAATTGTATAGAATGGTGTAAAGCCTCTCAGTGCCAGCATCCATAAGTCTTTATTCTTAGGGATGAAATACAAGTTGACCATCTCTCACTCAGCTGTGTGTCTGTAACAAGTTCTAGATATTACCAGCAGGATTCTCAGCGTGAACAGATATTAAGAAGAAGCTGGAACATTGTTTCAATTCTCATCTATTTAGTTCAGTAATAAAACTACTGGTGAATGGACCAGAAAAGATTACTTCTGCAATTTTTTGCTTCATTTGTTGAGATATTTGCATTTTTCTACTACTTAATGGTGATCTAGTTTATTTCATGCCTGGAATCCATCTTCATTGCTCATACTATTTGCCTGAGTTAGATTTAACTCTGTCCCAGTTTGACAGATATATTTTTTCCCCTCTAGTGGCTGAAAGACATTTTAAGAAGGAACAAATTCTAGCGGCCATAGAGCATGAAGATGTTCAATACAGAGCACAAAGAAATCACACCTTTTCTGGAGGGGGGAAGAAACCCTTTATTTAAAAACCTGAATGCTGAAGGAGAGGAAAAGGAGCACATGTTCATAATGGCACACACACACACAAAAAAAAAAAAAAAAGAATCAGCAACAGACTGGTTCTACAGCTGAAATAATTTCAGTGGCTTGAGGAACTGGAAAAATAAAGATGTTCACAAATACTGATAACCAAGATATCATGAGATGCGCTCTTGAGAAAACTAAGCCTCTTAAAATCAACTGTGTGAACCATTACCTATAAAAGGTAGCTGTCTCATACATTCCTGTAAATCAACAGGTGTCCTCTGTACCAAGGTTTACCTTACTAAAAAAAAAAAAAAGGAAAAAAAAACAGAAAAAAAAAACCAGCAGGATGTTGTAATACACAGGAAGTTCAAAAGCATTCACATCAACTCATCGCTCTGCTGGAAAATAATATTTTGAATTAAAAACTGAGAGCAATGGCTTCAAGATATGCAAGGAAAACAACCGAAATTTCAAAAATCTGTCAGTGTTCCTTCTCATGTTACTTTTAATAATCTTTTGGGAGATTAGCATCTGGCAAACTATGCGTTTTGTTTTGTTTTTTTTAATCACTGTTATGCACTGTTCCTCTCTTTCTCTGATGCTGAGTCAGAGAAACACTGGCAGAAGGACCCTTCACTGCAAGTCATGTGAATTCCTTAAAATGGCTTGGCTTTTTGATTATCTAAAAATGAAATTTCTAGAAAAAGTATCAAGTCAATTCCTTCGTACTGCTTACCTCTTTGTTCTATTAGAGCAAAAGTCCTCCCTAACGCACTTCAATTTGAGTATCATCCACTGAGATAAAAATCCTATGTCAAGTTAGGTGCGATATACCAGCTCTGTATTCTGCTGTCTGCCACACCCACCCAAGGGTATAAGCATATTAAATACGGATACATCCACATCTTTAAATCTTACTGTTTAATGCATTCCCAGAACTTACATTCATTTCCGAGGATGATTTAGCTAGTGATTTTTCTGTTTGTGTTTTTATAAGAAATTTCTTAGCCAAGAAAAGCTGATTAAACAGATAGTAAAAGATAAAGGTTTGCTGGTTTAGATATATTAAATGTTATTAATAAATATCTAACTTTATTTTTTGTCCCAATGGAGTTTTATAAGTAATTGCATCCCGGATCAGAGGACAGGGGAGTGAGGGGAAACAGATGAGAAAGGCCTTTCTGGTTAGCATGAAGCTATGTGTGGGTGTGATTCTTCAGTCCCACAGACAGTAGTTCTACTCCACCACGTGAATGACAACCCAGACATCGTAGCTGTGTGAATACTGCTCCAAACTGAGCACACTTCTACCCCTCCAGCAGAAGGGGTATTACACATACTGACAGGTTCCTCCCTTCTCAGTAGATATAGTCAGGTTAAAAAAAAATAGGTCACACTACCAGTAAAAATGATGAAATAAAATGGTACAACAGCACCCAAACACTTAAATGGTTATCTTCTGCCACACAAGACAACATATCCAAGACAAATGGTCCAACACTGACAGCTCAGTCACTGGCTTCTTGCGACAGTTAACACGAATGCAGGAGAAAAGCAGCGTACCTGTGTCAGGCTCACGTGATACACACGTACGCAGACACTCCTTCCCCTCCCAGCACCAATGATCGCCCAGACGCAATTAAGTGTGCAGATACATGTCTATATGAATACATACAAATACGTACACGCACATCTTCACGAGCACCGAGGCAGACAACAGCCTCGCCTTCCACACGCCAGCCCGCCTTCGCTAAGCCCTACAGCTAGAAGGACTAATAGACGCGGGACTTGAAACCACCAACCAAACGAACAAAAAAGCCCCGCGGCGCCGCGACGAACCCCGAGCGCTCGCTCCCTCCTGCGCCGGGAGAAAGGACTCGAGCGGCCGGGCTCGGCAGCGCCACGCGGGGGGAACCCGTCCGCCCGCAGCTCCGCAGGGTGGGGACTCGCTCACCCAAGCTGACATTGTGTGGATGCTGCACACCGCAGCCCCGCCGCGCCGCCCAGCCCGCTCCGAGGCACGCCTCACGCGGGGAACAGCGAGCCCCCGCCGGCCATCGGCGTGCAAACGCTCGCTTTGAAAGAAACGCCCCCGGCGCCGCGCGGGGCGGCTACCGCCGCCTCGCCGATCCCCCGCCGCTCCTCCGCCCCGCTCCTCCGCCCGGCGCGGTCCCTCCGCAGCCCGCGGTGAGCCGAGGGAGGCGGCAGAAAAGGCGCTGCCCGCCCTCTCCCCCTCAGCCGCCGGCCCCCAGAGGCGATGCGGCGCACCCCCCGGCGGAGGGCGGCTCCCCTGCTCACCTCGCCCCGGCTCGGGGAGCCCCCGGCGGGAGGACGGCGGCGATCCCCCGGAGCTCAGAGGGCAGAAACGGCAGGCACGCTCTCGCTGGCGGCGGCGGCACCGGAGCTCCGCTCGCGCTCCGCCTCGCAGCCCCCCGCGGCTGCGGCTGCTGCTGCCGCTACCCGCCGCTCCTCCTCCCGCCGCTAATGGTGGCCGCCACCG